AGAGAAACCCTGTTTTAAAACAACAACAACAACAACAAAACCCAAAATAAAATAAGTAAACAAATAAATACTGCTTCATCTCTAGAATTGAAACCATGGACACCTGCTTTTGATAGGCAATGAAGCTGTTGGTAAACTGTGTCTGGTGGCACACCCATAATCCCAATACTTGGCAAATGAAGCAGGAGAGCTACAAGTTGAGGCCAGTCTGTTCCACAATAGTGAGTTTCAGGCAATCCATAGCTACACAGTAAGACAGACCCTGTCTCAAAAAAAGAGAACAGATAAAAAAGTTCAGTCCCTTCCCCCTCCAAAACCAGCCAACTGATAATCAAACCTGTTGGTTCTGAGAGAAGTTTGGACAGGGAAGTCCAAAGACACATGGTGTCTGGAAACAATGAGAAGACGGCTGAGTAATGATGGAGCAGTTACTGCTGGCAGAGGTGGGGTGGGGGCAGGGGCAAGGGAACCTCATATGGTCAAAAAGACCGGTAGCTATGGTACCTGTACGGAGTAAGAAGCATGCCTACCCTCTCCGCACAGAAGTTTGTGCAGATGCCAAGGAGCCTCACCCTCAGCCCACACTGACGTGCTCACCCAGGGATGAGGGTGGGGTGCGAGGGTGGCTGAAGCTGCTAGGCTTGGATTCCGCAGGTCTGCACAGTAGGAGGGAAAGGAGCTCACGTGGCTGACCTTAGACAGCCTCGTGGAACCTCCTGGCTTGCAGCCCTACGGGAAGCAAGGCTGTTTGAAAGGACAAATCATACACATCTTTGTTGGTCTGGAGCTGTGCCATGACCACTTCCCTGAAGGGAGGGCTTAGGGAAGGTTCCTGATGGACGATTGGGAGGGTTGGTGAAGAAAAATATCCAGTTCTGGGTGAGAAGGCAGTTCCATGGCTGGGTAGACAGCAGTAGACATACTAGTGAAGGTGTTGGGCTTTCCACAGATCTATGGAAAGGGGGCTAGACAGCTCATGGGGTAGCTACTGGGGAATGAGGGAGGAGAGACCCGAGGAGTATAGAGAGACAAGCTGAAGTCTATAGACATATATGACCAGTGACACATATAACATCAGGATCATTCATTCATATCATTGAGTCTCTATTTCCTCATCTGTAAAATGGGGCTAAGAAAATCTCTGGGGCTAGAGAGATGGTTCTGTTGTTAAAAGCACTGACTGCTCTTTCAGAAGACCTGGGTTTGATTCCCAGCATCCACATGGTGGCTCACAATCTTCCATACTTCCAGTTCCAGGTGATCTGATACCCTCTTCTGGCCTCTGTGGGCACCAAGCACACCAGTGGAGCACATACATGTAAAATACCCATATCCGTAGAATAAAAATAAAAAATAAAGTCCTTTCAGGGCTAAGGATCGGCTCTGTGAGCAGGTGAGATGCACACAGCAGGTGCCTACACAATTACCATCTACAGTCTCCTCTGGCTGATGCTACTTAGGAACAGTGTGGGAATGAAGTCAAGATTGGAGGAGTGAAAACAACGATCCTAAAGCATTTCACTAATGGGGCCAGCCTAAGACTTCCCTCCCCTTTATTCGCCTGACAACAATCCCTGGACGCTCCGGAGAAGGAATTGGGCCATACCTCCTGGACTGCACTGGATCCAACTTACTCCGTTTCAATTGACACTCCAACCAGAGCTTTGAGAACTGACTTCAATCAAGTTGAGGATTTCAACCTAGATCTTCAATCAAGCAAATCCCATCTAACATGGACTGGATATAACCCATTAGAGACTTTCACTATACTAGCATTTTCTTCCCACAGGACCCCACAAGGCTACCATCGTCCCATTTCAGCAGAAAGTAACTTGGAAGATTCTACACTCCTGCTCCCCATTATCGTTTATTAGGGTAGGGTAAGCCTAGTTAGGAATAACTTTCTTATTGTTTAGGGTTGGGATTGGAAGGAAGTGTTCAGGTTGGACACCCTTTTCAGATGACTTTAGGGCTTAGGTGGAATAGACATAATTAGGATGTACAATGGCAGATTATTGTATCTTCTTGTATTTCACCTTTATGATTGTTAATTTTGGATGTTTTATAGTATGAAGTTTTAATCCTCTTTTAGACTAAAGGGAAATTATAGGGAGACACCGTAGCCCACACCTCCTAAGGGCTGGCTACAGGTGTGCTTAACCACGCCGGTCAAGGCGTGGTCAGGGGATGTTCAGGATGACGTTCGCGTGAGGGATTCTTAAGGTGCAGGAGACACATGGAAGCTCTCTCTGGCCTCCCTCGCTTGCTGCCTCTGGACACTCTGGCTTGCGCATGGCCGGTATTATTTGAATAAAGATATCTTAACTTTCAAGCTCACGTCACAAAGCCCCTTGTTGGTGGTACCAGGGAAAAGCTCAGCTTTGGTGTGCAAGTGGTGGCCAGTCTGGGAAGCACATAGGAGCAGAGTCTGGGGGAGGTGTATGGAAAAAAAGCAGCCTCAGTGGCCCAGGGGAAACTCCCTGCAAAAGGACATGCACAGGGAGGTGGAGCCCAGCAATGCATAGACAGGGCCTGAGTTGTGCCTTCTTTTATTAGGGCAAGTGTAATCAGCTCAAATTCAGCATACACACACACACACACACACACAAAAAAAAAAAAAAAAAAAAAAAAAAAAAAAAAAAAAAAAAGCACAATCCACCTATCTCTTAGTTTCTGCTAGCCCTTATCAGGAAGCCAGTAAAGACAAATCCCCTGCCTGAGGCTGGCAGATTCCAGTAAATAACCCTTCCTACATCCAGATGCAGGCAGTGATAGCCCCAGGTCTCAGAGTTTCTAGCTCTCAAAAACAAATGGGACTGTCAGGTGTGTCGCCTGAACCTGGAGACTGGATAGATGTCTGGCAGAGGCAGCACAGTTTTACCAAGCCTGGCTGCAATTCTAGATGCAGCCTGAGCAGCTGAAGATGGGATCCACTTTCTAATCCGAGTCAGCAGTAGCCGCTTCACGGACATCCTAGCAATGGGCACCAAGGGAGTCCAAACAGGACCTCTGAGCCACCTGCTACAAGAGAATGGGGACAGGGTGGCAGTGGGAAGAAGGGGCCAGTGCTGGGAATGTGTAAGGACTGCAGGCAACCCTTAACTTGGAGGACCACTGCAAAGAGCAAGGGGCGGGGGTTGTGATGGAGTCCTCTACATCCAAGAGGGAAGAAAAACATGCAATGTGGCTCTCTGCCCCATCTAGGCTGATAGACTGGGTCATGGATCCAGCCATCTGTTTCCTTCAAGCTCCTCTGTTTTTGTGGTAGTAACTTATTACATTCTGTTCCTTTCACCTCCTCCGCCTGTTATACACACATGGAATTCCACATGAATCTATATTAGCCCTGCCTCAAGTGATACTAAGATGTTCCTGCTCTATCTTCAGGAGAGACCCCATAACCCAGGATGACTGGCCTGTCCCACCCCAACCCCACCCCTAGTCTCCGAGCTGCCATTGGTACCTGTCTTCCCTAGGGTTAATAAATGCCATCCCCATCTGCCTCTGGGTCACTGAGTCCCTACCAGGTGCCAGGCTCCCCTTGCCCACTTCCCATGCTGCATCAGCTAGGGGTACTTTTGGCTCCAGATGCAGGAACCTGTGTGTGACTGACTGTGGCATGACTGACTGCCGCACTTCCAGGCCCCAGGCTGTTTTCCTCTCCTATCTTCAGCTAGGTCTTTCAGCCTCAGGGGCCACAGACGGCTGAGAGCTGCAAAAGGTCAGATAATGACACCGTGAGTCCTGCTACCCGAACAAAACTACAGCTTAAAAGTTATTTATCGTTATGTGCATGAGTGTTTTACCTGCATGCATGTCTGTGCCCTTTGTCTATGCAAAATTAGTTTCTTTGAACCCTACAGCAGGTGGTGCCTTCAGTTCCCCAGTACTGGGAAGAAAATTTTCATGGTGAAAGACCCCCAAAGAGGTACTTTCGTAGAAGGAGACCTGCACCCAGGAATCAGCGAGACCACGAGCTTGGATGCAAAACCGCAAGAGGCTTTATTGGAGATACGGGTACCCGGGAGACTTAGCTTCTGTGAGGCCAAGCGCGCCGAGCCAAGGGAAAGGGGTCCTTATATAGGGAAAAAGGCGCAAGCTAGGAGCAGGGATTCTATTGGATAATTCTAATGAGGCATTGTACAGAGCTATTCCCATTGGTCAATGTATATGAGGCGCTATACAGGGTTATTCAAATGAGGCAAAGTACAGAGTTATTCAAATGAGGTGAAACATAGAGTCTTTCAAATGAGGCGAAATACAGAATCATTTCCATTGGATGGTTCAAATAAGACACAGAGCCATTCCAGATCAGCATATTC